TGATTTGGTAGGGATTTAGTGCTAATGTTTGGCTTACTCCCTTGGAAATAAATTGAACCCGTTGCCACTAGGTCTTGGATGCGGTTCTTAAGTGTTCCATCCGCACGCTTCAGTCTTGTGGCCCGTTACCCTGATTGTACTCACAGTATTCGTCAGCTCTGTAGTTTCCTTGGGTATGGGTTGGGGTGGCGCCTTGCTTCCAAATGCTTGATGTAGTTTTGCCTTGACAGCCTCTCGAAGCAGACCGCAAAAGGATTAGCAATCCCGAGAATCAGTAATAGTCCTTCTCGACTGACTGGCATTTCTCATATTCCAACACGTAAAGGATGTCGTGGGGTGAATGCTTGGCCACTTCGTGGACTTTGCTAGTTGGCTAGGCTTCTTGTATTTTCGAGGTTCCCGAGTCTTCTTTTAGTTTGCCCCATTTGAATTAAAATCCTCTACTTCGTAGCATGGCAATTGAGCGACTGGAACGTCGGGTAGGTACTAGTTTGCAATTGTTGCTGGTAGACAGCTGGCAGGTTCTTTATAATTATGTTCCACCTCTCTTGCTCAGAAGGCCGGTTGATCATTTGGCGGCCTTACCCTCCCACCTCATAAGGAACGAGGAAAAGGGTTCGTTGTGTTCTTCTATTGGTGGTTTCCAATTCCCTCCGAGTAACATCAACCTCGCATATTATAGTGGTATTGCGTATTAATGCATTGTAAAAACCAGATGTCTTTTCCCAGGTCTTCATTTAGACCGGTCCAGGCTGACAAACCAGCCTCAAAAGCAGCAACCGGTGAGTGATTGTTGAAAACAACTGAGCAAGGAGCTCGTTGTTCAGTCTGAACGGGTTTAGGGAACCCACATACATTTTCAGGTGCGTTTTGGGACAAGTGGTTCCGTCAAACTTGTCCATGTTGGGGCATTTTGAACTTTGTTGGCAATCTTGCTTCGGGGAACAAGGACAAGGAAGTCCATGTCCGCCACTTCCTTGTGGGTCTTGAAGGGCAATGATCGACCTATTTCCAGAGTTCCAGTTTTTCTCTCATTTTTCTGAACTTCAGCTCACGAAGTAAGTTCTGGAGGGCATGTTTCAACTAGGTTAATGGGCATGGGAGGGTTTGTCGGTTTTCAGCAGCATGTCCCTGATGGAGGTAGCAGGTCACTTCCCCCAGCGGAAAGCCCCCATTGCCATTACCACTACTTAGTTGCGGCTATTAAGGGCAGTTCTCATGGGCAGCTAATGCCTTATTCATTCTAAGCCTCCAATTCTGGCTTCCAATTGCTCTATGAGATTTTGGATGTCCACACAAGTGATGGCCATAAGGGTGCAGTTGAAGTTGAAGAAGCTGGTGAGGTTTGGTGAAGCCCTGGTGAAGCCTTGGTGAGGCTTGGTGATAGCACTGGTAGGTGGTGACTTGGGACCTGGAAGGCATCGAATAGTGGGTACCTGGTAGGATACAAGGTAGCTGGATTAGGGTACATGGGGTAGTATTCTGTATCAAGGGTAGCTGAAGTAGGTCCGAACTCTTTTGTCCAGTTTGCATGACTAAAAAGAATATTTTGTGTTCTTTTAATGTTCTTATGAAGTGATATGCCATGAATGGCGGCACAACATCCCGTCATAATTCGTTTCCAAGATATGATCACATCATTGGGTGGCATGCAGCCCTAAAGATAGGTTCTATAGGCTATGACACAAATAGAGCATTGGCTTATTAAGGACACCCTTGAACCTTGGAGTATGGATATACTAACCACATGTGAAACAAAAGAGTTTCCGCGTGGGTCTGATAGTACGCATATCATGGGCCACCGCCAAAAGGATTAGGGATGGGTTTGCGGTAACAGGGAGGACGCTTTGGCTGTCCGTCGACATAATCAAAGGAGACCTGCCGATCAGCGCTAACTTCTATCCAGACTCAGAAGCTTTGGAAAAACAGAGAGAGAAGAAATTCATTTGAAATTCATTTTTTAATGCAAAATGGAGAAAAAAGTTTTCTCAATTTGTGCAAATAAATCAACAAAATTTAAATGATTTAAAGTAAATTCAATTGGTCCAGATTCTCCTTAATTAAGCATTCTTAAAGAAAGAATATTAAATTTTGTTGGGGTACCCTGCCAAAACAAAAGCATGGTAAAATAATACCCTAAAGAAGGGCAGGTTTAGTTTTACACAAACAATCGTAGTCCACTTTTATGCCAAATAATTACATAAAGTCCCCCAGCAGAGTCCGCAAATGTTGAACCCCTCCCCGAAAATAGGCATAAAAAAATGCATATGACTAAGGCACAGAAATGCAGTGAATGTATGAGTCGCCACCGTTGTTTAATTATTTTAGGGTAAACTAGAAAAAAAACCCTCAAGTTGACTCCAATTTTTAATTACCTAATTACTAGATTAATTATCTCATGTTTAAAGGCATAGTTTGCTAACCCGAGGTGGATCCCGAGACTAATGTCATGCTATGAACTAATCGATGAATGAATCTTTGCAGGGTAAATGATGTAATTGGACCAATAAATGTTTAAAGTGATTTCGACTTGCCGTCGGGGTTAATCCCGAACGTGCCTACGTACTTCCGTTTGAATGGAAGATCAAAGTCGACGTAGTTCGATAGGCCTTTTTAAAATTTGCTTTGAAATGGGTATGCTTAATGCAATGAGTGTTGTGTAGCTTTTTGTGCCATTTTTTGTTTAGGCATTTTGCCAGAAATTGATTGATTTTATGTAGGCCATTCCATTGCCAAAGTGTTGATTTAAGGCTTTTTGCCGAAAAGATCTGATTAAGGCATTTGTTGCCAAAATTGATGTGATTTTAGGCCGGTTGTCGCCAAAAAATTGATTATTTGAAGGCTTTTAGCCAACAAGATTGGATTTAGGCAATTTATTTGCCAAAAGGTGTTGAATTGGGCGATTGGTCGCGCAAAAATGATTGGATTTAGGCTTTTAGCCAAAAGATTAATTAATTCAAAGGCATTTTGCCAAAGCTTTTTGATTTAAGTGATTTTGGTCGCTAAAAAATGGTTAATCCTCACTTATAGGCAATTTGTTTGCAAAAAGTGATCATTGAATTGCAATATAGGCAATTTATTGCCAAAAAAAAAGTGTTTAATTAAAGCCTTTTTAGCCACAATTATTGATTAATTGGAACTTAAGCCGGGACTGTTCGAAATAAAGGGCGATTATAACCATAAGTCATTAATTGATAGATAATTTAAGCCAATATGTCGGATTTAGGTTTTAATCCGCACGATTATTAATTTAACCGGGCCATTTTAAGCTTAATCATATTTAAATTAAGGCAGGTTTACTTTGTCAAACTGATGACGTGAATGCATTTATGCAACATTTAATTCAGAATTGGAGTAGAAAGAAGAATATGCATTGAAATGCTGAAATTAAAATTTAGGCAGAGTTTCATTATTTACCTGAGTTAATTGCTGGCCGCTTCTTTAGCTTCAGCTTGAAAATTCCAAATTAAGCTCCTCGTTTAGGAAATATTAATTAGAATTAATTCATTTAAGTGACCAAGTATCACAAGCAGAATATAAAAGCCTATACTAAATGTAGAAAAGCAAGTAAAAGATCGCAAGGAGCGTAGGGGAGAAGGAGCGTCCTCAACACAGACTGAGTGAGTTAAAACTGAGTGCTCGGGGCTGTATTTAAGGGAAATTTTCGGACTGGAAGGGCGGCAGCTGCCGGCCAATGTCCGGCGGCCGGAGCCGCCCGTGGCCCGGCGGTCGCACGGCGGCCGAAGCACGCCGTGTCCGGTAGGCAGCGCCGCCGTTTGGGGGCCGGCGGCTTGTGGGTCTCTCGTTCAAAGCTTTTTTCAGGAGTTCCATACCTCCAAAAAAATATTCCAACAGGACCAGTTCCTGCGATTCTGCAATTTTCCGGACAATTTCAAGTACAATATTGGCCTACTTTCCGGTAAGTAAATTTCCAAAATGGCCTCTAGTCCGGCCGGACTGTTTGCAGTTCCGGAAAATAGGCTTTTTGAGCCTCAAAATTTGAGTATTCACATTACCCTATTAAAGTTACAGCTACAGCTCCATTGAAGTAAAATTGATGAAAGTGTTGTTGACAAATTTTGGAGGTATTTTGTTAAAATCATTTAGATTTTGTTGAAGTCAAGAAGTAGGTGGACTACCTTGCTGTTAGGTGGGTTTTGTGAACAAACTTTCTTGACTTATAGAAGTTTTGTGAACAAACTTTCTTGACTTATAGAAGTTTTGTGAACAAACTTCCTTGACTTATGGAAGGTTGGTGAACAAACTTTAGAATAACTCTAGCATAAATATTTACATTATGTTGTAATGGAAATAATGAAATGTGAAGATTTGTTTCTCCACACTTACAAAATATGCAGATTTTTCCTTTTCTGCAGAATTTTCCTTCTCTTTCTTATTTTCTGCTCTTCTAAACCAACAAGTGGTATCAAAGCAACCTTGATCTCAAAGGGGGCAACCTTAATCTCAAGGGTTAGTGTGTGTATTTGAGTGAAAATTATAGAGAAACCCACAAAATAAACCAGAGCTTGTGAAGTTTTCTATTTATTTGCTTTTCCTCAAATGGCTTCTAGCATCATGTCTCTTTCACCACCTCATTTTAATGGGAAAAACTACCATATTTGGGCTGTGAATATGAAAGCTTATTTCAAGGGTCGTGGATTATGGCAGCATGTGGAGGAAAACAGAGTACCTCCACCTCTTAGACAAAATCTAACCCTTCAGCAAATTAGAGAACACGAAAAGGAGATTGCTAAGGCTCTAAAAGCCCTGTCCTATATCCATGCAGCTGTTGCAGATCCTGTCTTCACCAAGATTATGGGATGTGAGACAGCACATGAAGCTTGGGAGAATTTAAAAATTGAGTATCATGGATCTGGCAAAACTAGATAAATGCAGATATTTAATTTAAGAAAAGAATTTGAAATGTTAAAGATGAAGGACAATGAAAAGGTGAAAGATTATGTTGATAGAGTTATGAAAATTGTAAACTTGATAGAGTTATGAAAATTGTAAACCAAATTCGATTGTTGGGAGAAGAGTTAGAAGAGAAAAGAATTGTGGAGAAAGTTATTATGACTCTCCCTGAAAATTTTGAAGCCAAGATTTCTTCTCTTGAAGGTACTTGGGACATGTCACAAATATCATTGAATGAGCTTTCAAATGCTCTATTAGTTGTAGAACAAAGAAAAGCCTATAGGGAAGAAGAAACCAATAGAGAGAAGGCTCTTGTAGTAACTCATAAAACAAAAATTCAAGAAGGAGGTTCAAGAGGCCAATGAAGAAGAATTTCAAAAAAAATTGGAGGAAGGACATATTTGCACCTTGTCCACATTGTAAAAAAACAAACCACACTGAGACTGCTGGTTCAGACCTGGATCTCAATGTAAGGTTTGTAATCAATTTGGTCACACCGAGAAAGTTTGTTCTACAAACCAGAATCAACAAACACAAGCCATCATGCACAAGTCACTGAAAATTCTGAAAAGTATGAAGAACAACTATTTGCTGCAAATGAAATCAAAAAATGTGATGTCTCAATTGAAGCTAAAGAGCTAAAGAAGCATGTTTCCTTGTTGATAGTGGCCACTAAACCAAACTTGGTGAATTTCGATAGCTTGGATACAAACTATTCTTCAAAAGTCAGACTCAGAGATGGTAGGCTTGTTGATGTCAAAGGCAAAGGAGATGTGATTGTACAAACTCCTTCAGGTACAAAGCTTGTTTCTGATATTCTCTACGTACCGGAACTAAATCAAAGCTTGTTTTCGGTTGGTCAATTGCTGGATAAGAATTACAGTTTGCTATTTAAAGCTAAGACTTGTGAAATAAGTGATCCTTCTGGCTCAAAGTTATTTGCTGTCAAAATAAAATAGAGAAGCTTTCCTCTAAACTTAAGAAACTTCGAAGAAGAATCTTCGAAGAAGAATTCTTGGCTTGAGTCATAGAGAAGAATCTGATTGTGGCAATATAGAAAGACTTGGGTCACAACTTGGTCACACCAATCTCAATTCATTAAAATTGCTACAATCCAAGAAGTTAGTTGCTAATTTGCCATCTGTAGTTGAAGACAGCAGTATATGTGAAATCTGTCAGTTAAGCAAACTCAGCCAAACACCATTCCCAATTAATCAAGCATGTAGAGCCTCTATGAAACTTGAATTAATACACACTGATGTGTGTGGCCCTATGAGTGTCTCATCTTACAATCGCAGCAAGTATTTTTTATTATTTATTGATGACTACACCAGATTCTGCTAGGTATATTTCCTCCAATACAAATCTGAAGTTTTCAAAATGTTCTTGAAATTTAAATCAATGGTAGAGAATCAAGCTGGCTCCCCAATCAAGATTTTAAGATCTGATAATGGGGCTGAATTTTTTTACATACCATCAATTCATCAATATTTGCAAGAAGCGAAGCATTCACCAATCAATTAACAGTAGCTTACACACCTCAACAAAAATGGTGTAAGTGAAAGAAAGAATCGATCTTGGTGATGAATATGGCAAGATGTCTCTTGTTTGAGAAAAAATCTACCCAAAGTTTTCTTTGGGCTGAAGCTGGTAAATCACTGCTGTATATCCTTCAAAATCGGCTTCCAACTAAAGCTATTGATGGAAAAACTCCTTTTCGAAAGCTGGTTGGAGTTTAAAACATCAGTAGTCACAGTAGGTCATCTCAAAATCTTTGGAAGCTTATGTTATTCATTTATTCCAAATGCAAAAAGAGGAAAATTGGATCAACAAGCTGAAAAAGGAATTTTAATAGGCTACAGCAGTGAATCCAAAGCCTACAGAATTTTGAATCCTGTTACTAAACAGGTGTATGTTAGCAGGAGTGTCAAATTCGATGAGAAAGGTGAATGGGATTGGAGTAAAATGGAGCCAGGAAATTCTAAATCAGTTCTTGAACAAGATCATTTTCAGCAAGAGCAAGAACTTCCACTTGACAATGAAGAATCACTTGACAATTAAATTCTGATGGCTCCATCAATAAGCACAAAGCAAGATATGATATGTTGTTAAAGGCTACGCTCAACATGCAATGGGCTGAAATTTTACAGAAAACCTTCGCACCAAGTTGGCAAGATTTGACACTATCAGATTGATTTTGGCACTCAGAGCAAATGAAGGTTGGCAAAGTCTTTCAACTTGGAATGTGAATGCAGCTTTCTTAAATGGTTTTCTTTGAAGGAAGAAGTGTATATTTGAGCAGCTTTGAAGGTTTTAATGATGGAAGCAATAGAGTGTGTTTTGTTGAAAGAAAGGCACTCTATGGTTTTTAATAGGCCCCAAGGCCTAGTATGGCCAAGATTGATCATTAACTTGCTGATATTTGGGTTTTTTAAAACGCAGACTTGAATGAGCCAACCTTTATGTACTCAACAAGAAAGTGATGTGCTTTATCGTTCTGTGTACGTTAACGATCTACTTGTCCACAGGCAACAATTTTAATAATTAAAATTCAAGAATTCAGATTGAAGATGCAGCATGGTTTTTGAGATGAATAGCTTGGCTTAATGTGTTATTTCCTTCGGGATTGAAATTTGTTCAAGATGAAGCAGGGATTTTTATTTCACAAAAGAAATTTGCTTGGGAGCTGCTTTACAAAATTTGAATCTTAGCAAATGCAAATCATGAGTACACCTACGGCCTATGGAATAAAATTGCAAAAGGATGATGGTTCTCACTCTATAGATGCTTCAACTTATAGGAGCATGGTTGGTTTCTTTGTTGTATTTATCTGTAACAAACTAGATATCATGTTTGCAACAAATTTACTGTCGAGATCCATGATTATGAATTCTCCAACTGAAAACCATCTTACACCAGCCAAACGAGTTCTGAGATATGTGCAAGGGACTGCTGAATTTGGTTTGTTTTATAGAAGATTAAATGGTGTGAAGTTGTTAGGGTTCTCAGACAATGATTGGGCTGGTTCATTGGACGATATGAAGAGCACTACTGGTTTTTGTTTTTCACTTGGTTCTGATGTCATTTGCTGGGGAACAAGAAAGCAAGCTTCAGTTGTTCAATCAACTACAGAAGCAAAGTATGTTGCAGCATCTGCTACTGTAAACCAAGCTATATGGTTGAGAAATGTGTTAATTGATCTGAATTTTCAGCAAGAAAATCCAACTAAAATACTTTGCGACAACAAAATCAGCTATTGCTATGGTTAAGAATCCAATCTTCCATGGAAAAACCAAGCATATAAAAATCAAGTACCATGCAATTCGTGAAGCTGAAAAGGAAAATGGAAAATGAAATTTAGATTGTTCATTGCAATTCTGAAGACCAAATAGCAGATATTTTCATCAAGGCATTGCAAAAAACCAAGATTTGAATTTCTTAGGAATAGATTTGGTGTTTGTCTCAACTCCTGCATCAAGGAGGAGTGTTAAAGTTATAGCTACAGCTCTTGAAGCTAAAATTGATGCAAGTGTCGTTGACAGTTTTTAGAGAAATTTTGTTAAAGTCATTTAGATTTTGTTATACTTTGTTGAAATGAAGAAGTAGGTGAACTACCTTGCTTTTAGGTAGGTTTGGTGAACAAACTTCCTTGACTTATAGAAGTTTGGTGAACAAACTTCCTTGACTTATGGAATGACTTATGGAGGTTGACGAACAAACTTTAGAATAACTCTAGTATAAATATTTACATTATGCTGTAATGGAAATAATGAAATGTGAAGATTTGTTTCTCCACACTTACAAAATCTGCAGATTTTTCCTCTCTTTCTTATTTTTCTGCTCTTCTAAACCAACATATCCAAAGGCTTTATTAAGCTTTCACTAAATAAAGGTGATCTCTTGGAAGAACCCAATCAAGACTTATTGGTAAACTCCTTTATGTCACTTTGACTAGACCAGATATCTATTACTCACAATATTTGAGCTAATTTATGGCCTCTCCAAGGAAACCTCACATGGCAGCAGCACTTCAGATTGTTAAATATTTACATGGTTCTCTTTCTCAAGGCCTTTTTTACTCTGCTTCTATTGACTTGAAACTTCAGGCCTTTTATGATGCAAATTGGGCATCTTGTCCTTTTTCAAGAAAATCTTTGACAGGTTATTGTGTCTTTCTTGGCAATGCTTTGATTTCTTAGAAATCCAAGAAACAAACAATTGTCTCAAGGTCTTCCACTGAAACTGAATATCGGGGCATGGCTGCAACTATCTATGAATTCCTTTTGGACCTCTTATATACTCACTGATCTTCAAGTTCCAATTCAACTTCCTATCTCTCTTTACTGTGATAACCAGGCTGCTATGCAGGTTACGGCAAATCTAGTGTTTTATGAAGACACAAAACAAGTGGATATTGATTGTCATCGGGTCCGTAATCATCTCAAGAAAGGCTTCATCAAACCCTTCAATGTGTCTTCTCAATCTCCCTTGGTTGATGTTTCACCAAGCCTTTAAGCAATGCTCACTTTTAAGATCTTATTTGCAAGTTGGGACCGCAAGACTTGCACCCTCCAACTTGAGGGGGGGATGAAGACATATGCTCTTTTATTTATTGCGCCAGCTCATCTAGGTTTCTACATGTGTATTATTAACTACCAACTCAGCTTAGTATAGTATGTGTAAATAACTCAAGCATTAGCTGTTGGGATAAATTACGCAAAATCCCTAATAAGTCAGAAAATAACACACAATTTGATAACGGAGTTCGGCCAATCTTGCCTACGTCTCCGGACTGCCACCCGGACTGCCACACGGATCTTTTATTAGGAGAAAAATAAATAAAAGTGTTTACATACAACTCACAACTCTCCTATTCAAGAATACCCGAAAAAATTAAGGTTAAATTTTTTTCTTGAATAATATCACTTATTTTTCTCTCTCAAATTGCTCTCTCACATTGCTTCTCACCTCTCTAATTTTGTTGTGTATTGAACGAGGCCAAATCCTCTCTATTTATAGGAGAGGAAGATGAGGTCGTAATATAACTCCATCTTTGTCAAAGTTGCTTGCCAACTTTCACCTAAATTTTTTTTTTCTTTTCATCATGTGTGTGGGTACACCTAACTTTGACAATCTCCCACTTGAAGACTGATTTCAATCTGTCTTCACACATTAATTCTGCAGCAATCTTCTCTGGTCTGTTATTCTAGCAGGCCAATTGAAGTAGAGCACAACTTCAGTTTGTCAATGGTCACCACCTTTGTTAACATGTTAGCTGGATTCTTGTTTCCTTGAATCTTCTCTAACTTTAGCACATCATTCTCAAGCAGAGACCTGATGAAATGATATCGAAGACCAATGTGTTTTGTTAATGTGTTTTGGGTTCTAAGATGGAATGCTGAATTCTTTGCCAAATGTTTATTGCAACTCTGACTATCACTGTAACAAACATTCTTTTCCCTGCATGAATCCCACTCTGTTGAACAAACCTTGAAGCCATATCATCTCTTTGTTGGCTTCTGTCAACTGCGACATATTCAGACTTCTTGTGGTGGATAGAGCTTACAATCTTCTATACCTGTGACATCCAACAAACAGCTGTTAGTACAACAGTGAAAAATAACTTGTGGTGTTCTTCGGTGATGTCAATGTCGCCTCCATAGTCCTGCATCTTACATGAAACCTTGTATTTAGTTCTCCTTTACCAAAGTACAAAAAACCTTCTCAGTAGTGCCTCGTAGATCCTCAAAATCCACTTTACCGCTTCCAATGAGCTTTCCCTGGATTTGACATATACCTTTGCTAACAACTCCACTGCATGGCCATATGCTGGTCTCGTACAGACCATCGCATACATCCAAACTTCCTATGGCTGAAGCATAAGGAATTTTGCCATGTCCCCTTTTTCTCTCTTCTTCCGTCTGAGGGGACTGGTCCTTGGATAAGCGAAAAATGGTAGCCAAGGGTGTGCTGACCGCCTTAAGCATCGTTCATGTTGATCTTTGCATACACGATTACGATTGATGTACTCCGCTTGAGATAACTGCAACACCTGTTTTTGCTTATCTCTCGTGATTTGCATTCCAAGAATCTTTTTCGCTGGGCCCAAGTCCTTTATGTCAAATTCTTTTAACAATTGCTTCTTCAAGTTTTTGATTTCATTTATATCTGGTCCTGCTACTAACATATCATCGACATAAAGTAATAGAATGATATAATTAGTCTTAAACCTTTTGAAGTAACAACAGTGGTCGGCATTGCACCTCTGGAAACCTTCTCTGTGCATGAAGCCGTCAAATTTTCTATACCACTGTCTTGGGGCTTGCTTCAAGCCATATAAGCTCTTCTTGAGTTTACACACAATATTCTCTTTTCCTTTTTATGAGAATCCTTCTGGCTGGTACATGTATATCTCCTTATCCAAGTCTCCGTGAAGAAACGCCGTCTTTACGTCCAACTGCTCAAGGTAGAGCCCTTCACTGGCAATAATACTCAACACAGACCTGATAGTATTGAGTTTTACAACTGGTGCAAATATTTCGGTGTAGTCAACTCCTTCCTTTTGCTGGAAACCTTTGACTACCAGTCAAACTTTGTATCTCTTGGAACCATCATGTTCCTCTTTCACTCGATACACCCGTTTTTTGTGAAGTGCCTTCTTTCCCACGGGTAACTCAGCTAGTTCCCATGTTTGATTGGAGATTAAAGACTTCATTTCGTCTTTCATGGCAAGCTCTCCCACTTGCTGGCATCTGCCGTTTGACATGCTTCTTCAAAGCATTCAGGTTCTCCTCCATTCATTCGATAAACTTTTTGAGATATCGTCCACTTCTACAAACACTGGCCCACTCTGCTTTGAGTCGCTGGCAACCGTGTTATGTCTGTCGTCCACCTCTGCAAACACTTGCCCACTCTGCTCTGAGTCGCTGAACTCATTCGGCAGACTTTCTGAGAATATCGTCCACCTCTACAAACACTGGCCCAACTCTGCCTCTGAGCCGCTGGGCACTGTGTTATTCTGGTTCCTTGTACATAATTCTTTCATTGAAACCACATCTCTACTTTTGCGGATCACTTTCTTATTTTCTTCATCCCAGAGGCGGTATCCAAACCATCTCCCGCCATATGGCCGATGAAAAAATGCATTCTTAGATTTTGGATCAACTCTTAGTTCATGCCATGATCACTTATATGCCACATATGCTACACCAAACCGAAAACTCTTAGGTTGTGAGAGTTTTTACTTCTTTTCCACTCACATACCTCTTCTGGTCATTTTGTGCTCCATGGTACCGATTGGACCTCGAGTTGATCAAAGTAAGCGCTGCTGTGTTGACTGCTTCGCCAGAACTGCTTTGGTAAGCCTGATTGTACACATAGAGCTTCTGGCTCTTTCCTTGTCCAACGTTCGAGTTCCAAATGTGCTTCAGCTTACACCATTGTGTTGAGGCGTGCTGGCAACGGTTCTCTCCATCTTGATTCAACATGCTCATAAGCAGAACTTCTTGAACCTGGTGTTCTTCATATTCACCACCCATATGTCAGTTCTTAGCTTTTTGATCTTCAAATCTGTCTCATTTTCAACCAATAGCTTTTCCAAATTTTGAAACCAAGCATCAAATACTTCTGACTTATATTTTAGAAAAGTAAACCCAAACTTTCCTGAGAGTGATCATCAATAAAAGTCCAAAGTAGTGTTTCCCCACTATTGGATGAAGACAGTAGTTGGTCCACACATCGGGTGAACAAGCTCAAGTTTTTCTTCTCCTTCTTTGGGGTTCTCTATTTGTCTGAAAGCCTGACTCTTTTCTGTTTCCAAATATGCAGTCTTCACACATGTCAATTTCAATTGACTGAAGACCTGGTAGTTTTCCCTGTGAGTGTAGAATCTTCATTCCTTTCATACTCATGTGGCCAAGCCTCTAATGCCATATATTGAGAGTTTCACTGTTTGCTGCAACAGCAATGGAATAGCTTGCTCCTCCTGTGCTGTAAAGAGTAACAATCTTACTTCCACGAGCAACCATCATTGCACCTTTTGTAATTTTCCAATTATCGCCATGGAAGGTTATTGTGTAGCCGTCGCTGGCCAACTGGCCTATTGAGATTAAGTTCTTTCTCAGATCAGGAATATGTCTAACATCCTTCAACTCCCATGTAGACCCATTCAACTTAATCTTCACTACTCCTTTACCAACAATATTACATGGGTGGTCATTACCGAGGTATACTTTTCCAAAATTTCCGGGGGCATACCTTTCAAGGAGTTCTTTTTGTGAAGTTGCATGAAATTGACGCACCGGAATCTAAAACCCAAGACTCCTGCTTGCTCTCCAAAGACCAAAAGGCTATAGTGCATCATCTTTCTCCTGAGGTTGGAAGCAACATTTGCCTCTAACTTCCCTCCTGGTGCTTAGGTGCATTCTTGCACTGATTTTTGTTAGTGACTAAGTTTTCCACAATTCCAACATTCATGGTCTTTGTGCTATTGAAAATTGCTGGGGATTCCTGGATTTGGACCTCCTGTCCTTTGAATTGCCTCGGTAGTTTGATCTACCACTTCCATTCCCTCTGGTTGATTTCTTCCTTCTCGATTCTGTTGCAAGACTGAAAAGAAGTTGAGGTTCACTCTGACTCTTCTCCGTCGGATCTCTTTCACTGAGAAACTAGGTCGAACATCGTCAATTTTTTAACTTCTTGCTCCGGACGAGCTACTCACAGCTGTAACAGTAGCATTCCAACTTTCTGGTAGGGGAAGACATAAGTATCAATGCTCGTACCTCTTTCATTCAAATTCAATTCCAACTGAACTCAATTGGGTTGTAACTGTATTGGAGTTCATTGAGATGTTGGGCCACAAATGCGCTTTTCGTCATTCGATAGATTGAATAATCGTCTCATCAAGTGAACTTTGTTTTTGCGGCCGATGGTTTTCGTAACATATTGGGAAGAGCCCCATAAGACCCGCCGTGGTCTTTTTCTTTTGCTATGTTGAAGGCAACATTGCGGGAGAGGGTTAAACGAATAACCGCCGAGTGCTTGTCTGTCTAGAAAGATTCAATCTTCTTTCCTTCTAGTCCTTTCTGGCTTTTTATTCGGAGAAGAGTTTGAAAGACCTTTCTGATACGATAATCCTCTATCTGCATTTTCCAAAAGCCAAAATCTGCAGTCGTCGAATTTTTCCAATTTTCGACTTTCCTTCATCTGCAGCCATTAGCTCCCACTCGAGTCACAACTCCGCTTGATTGTTAGTAAACCGTGAATAGTAACCGTACCGTGAATAACTACTATTAACGTATAGTAATCGTATACGTGCATAGTATTCGGTACACGGTGGTGCTGGGCTTGACGTGAATAGTACTATACGTGAATAGTACTATACGTGAATAGTGCTGGGCTTAAGAGTCACTGGGCTCAGCAACAGTAACGCCAATAGTATTGTTCACCACCAACTTGAGTTACCGTTTTACTATTTACCACTAAGCCGATTCTACAACGACTTTCCGAGCGGACAACACCAATAGACTCGTCGTAATTTTCTCATCGTCATGGTATATTTATTTTCAAAGTATATCTATGGATCTGATACCGCTATCTGACCGGCTGGACCTGCCGAAACTTTCAGCTCTGATACCAGTTGTTGGGATAAATTACGCAAAATCCCTAATAAGTCAGAAAATAACACACAATTTGATAACGGAGTTCGGCCAATCTTGCCTACGTCTCCGGACTGCTCTCCGGACTGCCACAATGATCTTATAGGAGAAAAATAAGATAGATGTTACATACACTCACAACAGGTCTCTATCAAGAATATCTGAAAAATTAAGCTTAATTTTCTTAAATTGAATCTCCTCAACTTATTTTCTCTCCACAAATTGCTCTCTCAACCAAATTGCTCACTTATTTTTCTCTCTCACAATTGCTCTCTCACAATTGCTCTCACTCTCTCTATTTTGGTGTATTGAACGGAGGCAAATCCTCTCCTATTTATAGAAAAGGAAGATGAGAGAGCCGTGTATAACTCATTCACGGCTCTCTATCTTTGTCAAAGTTGCTTACCAACTTTCACCTAACTTTTTTTTTTCTTTTCATCACGTGTGTGGGTACACCTAACTTTGACATTAGCGATTTACAGTTATAACATTTTCTCGATTATTCAATATACGATTCTTGAGTTTTTCTCTCACCTTTTACGCTATTCCTGGTTTGTTTACATCTACCGGCCATTCTAATACATGTAAGTTATGAAATTATTATATATAACTAGAGTTCATATTTCATAATTGGTTTGGCTTATGATTCGTGGCATATGATGGAACAGAAGCGGACCAACTTGGGTTGCTACCTTGTGGGAGTATTGAATAATCATTCCCCAAATTATGATGTTTGTGATTTAGCTTAAATTTTACCTAAATCATCTCCCAAACATATCTCACAGTAAGGTAGTTGGTCATGGAAAAGTGCATACCTTCCATTCTTACCCATATTGATCTCGATTTCAATCTTTTCCGGGACAAAAAAATAGAAATAAACAAGAAAAAAAATAATTTTTCACTGGAATGAAAACTTTATGAATAATACCAATAGAATGAAATCGTAAATAAACTTTAATTCAATTAAATTATTAATTAACCATAATTGAGTTGAAGGGCTACATCCTTAAATTCAAGAATAAAGAAATTAGCCAAACATAGTTTTTTTTTTTTTTTTTGGAAGGAAGCCAAACATAGTTAAATTAAACATGATAAGCAAATAGGTATCAAAGCAAAACATAGATTTCAAAACAAAAAGATTAAAGGACAAAACTCTTGAAATGATCTCTTTGCAAGTCTTGACAAAAAGAGATTAATTGACCAAAAGAGATTAAATAAAGGGAAACTAAATAACAATGAACCTAAAAATTATAGAAAATTAAATAAGACTAAGCCTAAAAATATGAAATTTTACCGTATAAAATTAGCGATTTAGATGATTAAGTATTTGAAGGCGGCATAAATAGTTAAAAAAATCTCAGATTTTAGCATGTTTTCCAATCCTACCATAATTTCTATTTTTTTTTAACAAAAAAATATTAAATCTAATAACTCTCGTTGAACGTTAGTCTCCAGCTCAATTTTTATAAATTAATTTATTAACATTAAAAATTAATTTAGTAAATTTAACATTATCTTTATTAAAACATAAAGATTATGAAAGGTAGGCAACGTGCTGATTTTGTACTCTTACCGCTTCTGGTGCACGAGGGCTGTCACAGTACTTTTCATGCCCATTACTATTTTCCTACAGAATTGATAAATAATTGAGTTCTTTTAGCAGGAAAGGCATAGTACTCTTCTGTAAGTTTCTTTTTTCTCTTCTTCCTATGTACCTACCGTTTAGAGGTTCCAAAACAAATACAAATATTAGTTATTGGTTAGCTAGGTGGGACCTATTACTTCAATTATTGTCTCCTCTCGACAAATTGAAAGGTTAGTCATGTGGGACCCATTATTTCAAATGGTCTAGGTTAATTTAATTAACCTGTGCTTCTGGTGTTATGCATTTGAAATTTATTTCGAATTTAGTTTGGTTTTCATTAAATCTAAAGAATAAGTCCAAATTCATTTAAAATAGCTAAGAAATGAACTAATTTATTTAATCAAATCAGTTTGATTAATTTGAAATAGTCCTTTTTTTTTTTTTTGGAAGGCAAATTAGTCCATTTAATAATTGCTTTAGGTATCCCAATTTTATACATATGTATAGATTCATTTCACTCATTCATATTTGTATTGTTTAACAAAAGGTGGAAAAAAAAATCAGACAAATAAAATGCAACTACCATCTGAAACATTGGTAGAGCTAAAACATTGAAAGAGGATGAACCAAATTCATAGAAATCTCTCATTGAAACAACCAATAATTTAGACCACCAAAAGCATAATTTCAATAAAGGTGCATTTTACACTAGCGATACACAAATATATAAATGTGTACATTTATATAAGGTATTAATTAAGGTTGACTGTTGGGTAGCCTGCTAAGAACAGAGTGCTCTGGTTTGTGTTCACACTCAAAATCAAGATGAACAAATGCCCTCTCAACTTCTGGCAGTTTCTCAATTTTGTTCTGTAAAGTCTCTCCGATAGTATGTGCTTCTTTCAAAGGCAATTCTTCTGGGAGTTCAATGTCAACCTGTTTCAGGGGACATATAAATGGCTGAAATTTAACTACTTAATTTTCCCTGAAATTGAAAACTTTCCCTGCTTAAAATAAGGTCTGAAATACTTTTTCTTAGCCTTTTCGAACATAAATGAGGAAGGTGACTTGAAAATAACCATTGCTAATGCACTTCAAGCAAAATGGTGCAAAAATACTTCAGATTGTAACATTTGGAAAATGTTGCGTCCTTAGCAATATTTTTCCATCAGTAGCCAAGAAAACTAGAATCACATCAATACTATGACTAACCTCGACAAAGTAAAGAACACCAAAGGTGTAAGCACGGACAGTATCAACGCGCTTAACTTGAGGATGCCTTATGACAAGATATGTTAACTTTTGCAGGACTTCAGGAGGGGCTGTTTGTCCAACAAGTGAAACTGCAAGAAGAAGCTTGTCTTAAATGGTTGAATATATTAAAAAATAATGAGAATTGAGAATGATCAAGAAATACTTTTCTGTTTATCCTAACCCTTTGGAACAAAACATGGGTGAAAAAACTACCTGCATTTTCAAAAACAGTTCCAGACCAATTTGATATTGTGTAAATGGCAAGTAAAATAGCACCAGCAGGGTCTATCCACCAGTAGAACTTATCACCAAGAACAGCTGCAACTAAACCTACTACATTCGTTATTACATCAAAGTAGTGATCCTGAGAATTAGCAATGTCAAGGAGTTATAAAAATGATAATTTACAAGCCGATCACTAGAAAGCTAACTATTCAATAAATAGAAAAAACCTTTGCATAAGCGCGAACAATCTTGTTTCCTGAGCTTCTGCAGTAAAGCCAAAGTGCCAGCTTCACCACAGTGGCAGTAATCATGATTATGTAGAGCCACATTAATTGATTTGAGGACATCTTTTCAGTGGCTTCATCTTTAACTAGTTCTTCAACAGCCTGGATCAATATCTGAAACCCTGTAAAAATTGCAAGTCTTAGCAATTTTATTCTTTATGAATGCATGCCATATTCAGAAAGTAAAATCCTAAAATCCTTTTTCCTAAAGGAAAGGCTCACAAATTTGTTGTTCTTTCATTCCAAGAAATAGTTCTTATGATAGGTCAAAACATTTTTGTGAAAATAATTACATGTAAAGGAAATAAAAAATTCATGTTCATTGTGATAAGCACCTATAGCAATAACTGTATACGCCATCAAGTGGGTAATATACTTAAATAAGAATGTTAAAGATGGACTAAGGATTTATATATTGAATATGTCGTTATCAAAGGACTTCAAGAAAAGAGCAGGGGAATATGACAAGGATTTACATATTTAAATGGACTAAGAATTGATATATTGAATGTTAAAGAGCCACAAATAGAACTTTTATCAGATTTGTGTTATCAAATGTTAAAGAAACAAATTCTATAACATATCTTGACCTGCATGCATTTTGCATTTATGTTGAATATTCTAGCAATTTTTTTTCCCAGTGAGAAGAATTGAATCTTGTCCATCATGTCGTACGATGCAGGCCCAAAAGAGTTCTTGAACACTAATGGTGTAGAGGGATTCACCATTTGATGTAAGAACTGCTACAAGAAAATAAGAAAATGCAAAATTTCGACAACTGCATATTATATTCTCCAAGATTTCACAAGGCATTTCATATATGCAAAACAGAAAAGCTTCCTGATACTATCGGCATGTTTCCAGTTGTCAATTTCAGACAGCAATATATAAAACTATAACTAGTTATGTCCAATTTGTCCTGAAAACTTCTCACAAAATCATAGGAAACAAAAATAACTCACCATCTTTCAACTTCCTTTCCATTTGAGAATTTAAAACAAGATTATATTTATAAAGCAATAAATCTAACTTCAAAAAAGAATATGAAACTGCATACCGAGTGTAGCCATAATCGCAGCAAAGATGATTATACCCACAGGCTGCAACCTTAATTTTCCAATAGGGTAGTCGTATATATTTATGCTTTTCATAGATAGGTGAGTGAACCAAAGTACTCCACCAGCCATGAGATCAAGCAAAGAATCTAATGTTGATGCAGCAATGGCTATTGACCCACTTCTTACTGTAGCATAAATCTGCATATTGTACAAAACTAATATCAATCAACAGATGTATTACACAAAAGATGAGTTAAACAGTATCAATTAACTAATATCAATTGACCTTAATTGCTAAGAGTAGAATATTTGCATAATTGGATATTCGCATGGCCCATTCAGCTTGCCGGTGTTCTTCATCGTCTTCCTCGTCGACAATGCCATCTACCTCCAGAGAATCAACTTCTTCGAATGATTTCAAGGTATCTAATTGTCTCTCGTAATACTCTCTTGCACCTGTTAATTAATTTTGAAAAAATATATAAACTCATACAAAATTCATTTTAGTTACAAATAAATTTCACTAAATACAAATTAATATTTTTAAAAAATAATTTATAATTAAATTTCATTTTAAATATCCAAGTTGTCTTTAAATATTTTGTTTGACATAAAATGGACATTCATATTTAAATCAACTATTAAATTTAGAATTATAAAATTTAATTAAAACGTACTAGTAATTCAAAAAAAAAAAAAAAAAAAAATCAACTATTAAATTTAGAATTAACAATGTTAATTAAAACGTACATAATTCAAAAAAAAAAAAAAAAAAAGAATGTAGTAAAAAAAAAAAAAAAAAAAGAATGTAGTAGAAAAATACAAAAAGGATGAAACCTTTGGACAGTTCTTTGGTTTTGGACAAATCAATATGAAAAGGAGATTCAACATCAACACCAAGTCCAGAACGAAGCTTATCAGGCAATCTTGATAAAAACTCGTCTCTGAGTGAGCCTCGACTCAGTCTGCCGCTTCCCTTTCTTTGATTTACTAACAAAGGAGCCTTAGAATTCGAATTCGGACTGGATTCTCCTTCCATATTTCGGAAAAGCTTGACCCGTTTTCCAAGTTTTTTTGTAGCTACAAGAGAAAGGAAGTTGGCGAAAGGACAACCACAGAGGGGTAAAAGGACGAGACGATTTTATGATGAAAAATGATAGCCCTATCAAAAGATTAAAAAAAAAAAAAAATGAAATCGACAGTAGACAGTAGGATATTTTGAGCTGTCCAGAGCTAGTCAGATAGATACTGATAACTTATTTCATTTTTTCTTTTTATCTCTTTCTAATATTGGAATTTTGATCTTCTAAATCTAAAGTTAATTTAACAGCTATATATATTTTGTTTAAAAAAGATATTTTTTTTTTATACAATTAGCATCCTAATTTTGTAGTAGAACAGTTTTCTATTGAAAATAATAATTATTTTTAATTAACAAAAATTATTTAAAAAAGCTTAAACATAGGAAAATTTTATTTTAAAATAAAATTATAATTATAAAATTACTGCATTTTGTTGTCTTACAAAATATTTGATTTAAAGATTCTAGAATTACAAAATTATATTGAATATTTGATTTTTTTTAATTTTTCTTATTATTTTTTAATTTTTTAATTATAATATTTGATTGAAAACAAACATTTATTTTGTTATAATTTGGGAGAGAATAAATAAAAAAAAAATATGAGCGACATTCTTATTAATGAGAAGACACTTATATATAGACACACAAGTGGTACCTTAATTGGGAATATAGACTTCTCTGTAAATTTAGAAATGTAGACTTCTCACTAATTAAGTATATAAACTTCTATTATATATAATATATCTACTAATTTCAGAACATTACCCGTTGGATGTTAATCCTTCAAAGAATATGTCAAGTTAAAACTTTAATAAGAAAACCACGTGGAAAAGAAAAAAATCTTAGTGAAAGAAAATAAGTACATCATTCTCTTCTAATAATACGCGTCGAAATACTGGCTTATTAAAAATTCTTTACTAGGAAAAACCAATAGGAAAAAATATTGGTTAAAGGGAAAAAGAGTATTGTATCTGTCTACTCTCCCTCGTCAAAATATCACTTAAGATCTTTGAATTTATATATTTTAATTTTGTGTATTAATTCTTAAAAAATGTGTAGTGTAATGTACTTTGGTGAGCAAACTATCAAGATTGTCACTTGAGTGAATTTATTAAAAATCAATATCATCATTCTTTTGTAGATCACGAGTAAAGAAGAACTTTGATAAAATATCATTAAAAAAATATATGTTTTAGCAACCGCTTTTAGTGATGGAGAATAGCAACCATTTGCACCAGCGAATTACTGTAAAATTGTCTATAGTTTAGCGACCAAATGAGCGGCCACTATTGACGACTTTAGCAACCGACTTGGCAACTGATACAAAAGCGATCGCTATTTGCCCCAAAGAATTGTGCGAAGTTTTGATACAGATCAACTGTTAGTTTATCAAGCATTCGGTTAGTTTGGTTCAAATTAATATAAATTAAATAAATAAAATTTTAAAAAAATTAAATTTAATCAAATTAATTTAACTTATCCAATTTTTTGATTTTGAATTAAATCAATTTAATTATTAGATTCAATTTTTTATATAATAAAAGCTAAACTAAACTTTAAAAAAGAAATCATTTTTCCTATTAAAACTAAAATTGAATCAAGTTTTTAAAAATTAAATTACACTAAACTGAATGATTTGATTTGATTTATTTTATAAAATTATGTTTCACATGCCATCACTTTGACTATATAGCCATAATAATTCTATCGTTTAAAACCACAATAATTATATCCAAAATCATCTTATATATCATTTAGAAGTGGTTCAATTTTAGTTTCATCTTTTTTATAATTGGAATCGATGGTTTTGAACTGAAACCGGTGATTCTGAAACCATGATCATGCTTATCTCAAACTCGTGTTTTTGCTCTTAAATGAAACAGACTTTTTAGTATTATTATTAAAAATTATAAAGATATTTTATCTCGTAGGTCTAACAATATTCATTAAATGGATAAGAGGGCAAGCTAGTGTAAATGACGACACTCTTGCTAGAATATCATACTCTTATGATCGTTTCATGTTTACTATTAAATCCCGGGTTATCTTCCTTTCATAATCAAAATTAATCCATAATGCATTTTCTTTTCAAAAAGAATTCATACTATTATAAGACTAAGCTTACAAGATATGGATTACATCTAAAACAAGATAACATCTACCAAAATTTATACTTTTAATTAAAATTAATATTGCAACACATCAAAAATAACTATCAGATTTTCATAAAATTAGTTGGTTTCCAAGAGAAATCTAGAAACAATGATGGCATTGAAAGTGAAATAAATAGGTTAGGATTTTGCACTATGTGGTATAAATGAAGTTAATTTTTCTGGAATTTGATGTTCAATAATAAATTGTATTAAAAATTGTGAAAAAATAGCATGGATTATACAAGTGAAGCACAAAAGATTATTTACCAAATCTTTTTTGAATGCTCTCTCAAAATGATAGCGCTTTGATGGAAATATGAAAAAATTGTTCCCATAAATTCTTCCTTTTCGAGAATTACGGATTTAATTTTTAAAACTATCAACCACTTTCATCCCTAATAGTCGGAGTAAGCACATTTTTTAAAGCTATGGGCAAATCAAGAAATTGCAGGTTCAAATCAAATGGACATGACATGGTTATAGGAAGTGAATTTTTGAATTTTTTTTATTGTAATTCATGTGCAAGTTCTTAGATGTAAACTGACGTTATTTATAAGTGGGTATTTGGAAAGAATTTGAAAAGACAATTGATGCTATCAGAAATTTTAGCTCGAAAATCAAATTTGCACATACTTCTATTTTACATATAAATGTGGGAATAGGGGAAGGAGAAATAATAGAATTTTCGATAGCGCCTTTGTTGAAATTTAGGATATTCCAAATAACCTTAGTCATAGCTAATGAGAAAATAACATTTTATTAGTTGATTGGATATATTTATAAAAATTATTTTGCAAGCCAACCATGTATGTCTGATTGTCTTATCACTTATGTGAGGAGTGAGAGGTTTCGAATTTGAATCCTTTCGACTACAAGTGTTTTCAATAATTTGGTGAGTCTAGGGGAGGATTATTACTTGTTGCGTAGACCGCAGTATTATTGTTGCGTCTCTTTTGAGTTCCCACAAGTATACGGATCGCAACGTAGTAATAAAAGATCGATCCCACGAGGAACGGGTTGAGTCCACTTGCTACTTTGTAACGACGTCAAACGTAAGTAATAAAAGATCGAATCCCCACGAGGAACGGGTTGAGCTCCACCTTGCCTACTTTATTCTCATGGTATTTAATAAGAAATAAATACAGAAGTGGGAGGAATTTCTATTTATGCTAAAAGAAATACAAATGTGAAATGATTTAGCTATAATTCTAGTTATGTTAAAACTAAATGTTACTTAATTCTATAGATAAGTGTGTAGTAGTATACTTAGAAAAATTGATCATGCACTGGATTTTCATCTTTTATATCAAAACATGTAACATCCAATGAATAATTCTTTAATCACATTTAGTAAAATATAATTCAACCTCTCGGTATAGAATTACTCTATCTATTATATATATTTCTACTTATAATAAATACCTTACTTTGTTGAATATTAAACCTAGTTCTTATTCTTTGATTATTTCAATAAGACAGATTTAACGAAAATTGTAACTCCAACAGAAATAAGTGAAATAGTGCATATGCACAATTCAACTTCAATGAATTAAATCTCTTTGATTCTTTAAAAACTAAACTATTTCCTTCTGATAAATAGATCTAGTAACTTTGATTAAACAAACGACCAAAAGATAACTAAAGAATTTGTTATTGAATATACCAAACTAAATATTCGTTGCTGTTGCCATAGAAGAGTTATGAAACGAACAACATAGCAATAAGTTAGTAAAACAAGATGAAAGAATAACTAACTCAAAGCCTCCGGAGTGGCGTCACAACCTTCGAGGAACTTCTTGGTGTTTGCGCACAATCATTAACAAGTGACTTTCGTCAATCTTGCTGTAAGAATACTAACACACTTCTCCCTAACATACAATCTAAAGTGTTGTGAATCTAAATTGTGAATAAGCAATCAATTCTGTACTATCTGTCTCTCTTCTTGCTCACTTGATTGCTATTTTTAATAGAGGAGGAGAGTGAATGGTGTTTGTTGTCAAGCTGATTGGTTGGCTAAATGAGGTGCTTGGAGCGACTTCTCTTAAGAGGAGCCGACCCTTGCGACCCTTGCATGGAAAGATATGATTCTCTGATGAAAAGGCAGCAATCACGTCTCCTGGAAATCTCGACTCGCGCTCGCGCTGGTGAAGGTCACGCTCGCGACTTATGCTCCAAATGCTTTTGCCTCTCAAGAGTTTTGTTCGCGCTCGCGCATATGGAAGGCGCGCTCGCGTATTCCGCTGGCAAACTTTCTGCTTCTCAAAGGTGCTTTCTCACGCCCGTGCAGATGGAAGGTGCGCTCGCGTCTTCTGGTCCAATTGCTTCTGACACTCAGATCTGCTTGTCGTGCCCGCGTATGCGAATGTCGCGCTCGCGACTAGCTTTTCTGGGTGTAGGTTGCATGCGCGACTTCTGGTAGCGCTCGCGACGTGGGCGTTTTTCTTTGTTGCGACTTGCTTGGCGGCGTGAAGGCTGGATCAAGGAATTCTCTTATCTTTTTTTATCTTTTTAAACCTTGTTTGGCCCTAATTTTTTGTATAGAACAAGGTCTTTGCTCCAACTTGTTCCTGGCCAATTCACTTTGAAACAAAATCAACAACAAAACGTAAAATGTACAAAAACAATCATGCATTCATGCAATTTATATTGAAATAACACAACAAGATTTGCCCGCTTTGCGAGGCTATCAATTATTTCGGCCCATCAAGTCTCCTAATGAGTCAAAAAATATACTCCCTCCATCCTATTTTGTTTGCTTATTATTCTTTTTTTAGATGTCCCAAAATGTTTGCAAGATTTCTAAATTTGAACAATAATTATTTTTCCCATGATAACTTTGATGATCCTTTATTATTTATTAATATCCTCAATGAGTTAAGGGTAAAAAAATGGCAAAATAATTTTATTTGACTAAATTCTTAATAGGCGTGTTTTGTCAAACTATGCAAACAAAATGGGACGAGGAGTATATTTTTTAAATAAATACATATAGATAATTACACATT